CTGCGAAAGGACCACTGCACCGGGCCTTGGGTTGCCACTTCTTTTCTAAATCTTTTCAGAGGAAAGAATTAGGTAACTTTTCTGTTGTTATGTTACTACAGTTTAGAAACAAAACACAAAATAGTTTCCACTTGGTATCTAACTTTATACAGTTGAAGCTGATTAGTTTCTTACACTGCAAATTTTATTACATCCATAATTTCTAATATCCATGACAGCTGAAAAATTATAATGCCAAGATTACTATGTAACAATAAACCCAGTGAATTAAATTTATAATTTCTTTGCAGTGTTTGGTCCTTAAATTATAATTCACTAATATTGTTCAGTTCAGAGCCCAGTGCCATGGCTCAGTTGGTTAAACCTCCCTCTGCAAGTGCCGGGATCCTGTTTGGGCACCTTTCTGTGCCCCGGCTGCTCAACTTCCCACCCATCAATCTGTTTGTGACCTGGGAAAGCATGAAGGATGGTCCAAAGCCTTGGAATTCTGCATCCACATGGGAGACCTGGAAGAAACTCCTGGCTCCTGGCTTTGGATTGGCTCAGCTCCAACTGTTGCAGCCTTTTGGGGACTGAACCAATGGATGGAAAATCTTTCTGTCTCTCCTCTCAGTAAATCTGCTTTTCCAATAAAAATAAGTAAATCTTAAAAAAAATATTGCTCGGTTCAAATACTACATTTTGAAGTCACTACAATGCTTTTCTAAGTAATATGTCATATTTAGTAAATTACACACATTTATTTCAGTTTCCAAATACTATAATTTTTATTTACTTCTTCCCTTATTTTTTTGCCTGACTACCTAGAGTGTGACTTCTTTATTTCTTAATTTTTAGGGGTTCTTTATACAACAGGAAAATTAGTGCTTCCTGTCATTTAGGTGTGTATTTTAAAATTGATTAATCGATTTGAAAGGCGGTAGGCGGTTTGGTTCTCCATCCACTGGCTAACCTCCCCAAGAGGCCAGAGCTGGGCCATCTCCTGATTTCCCAAGTATACATGCAATGAGCGAGATTGGCAGTGTAGCAGCCAGGACTCAAACTGGCACCCAAATGGGATGTTGGTGCTGCGGGCAGAAACTTTAATTGCTTTCTACTCTGCCACAGTGCTAGCCCTGGGGCAAATTTTAATTTTAAATCTTTTAATTTTGCATGTATGTGTGTGTGTTTTATGTTCTATTTATCCGAAAGGTAGAGTTCCAGAGAGAGAGGGGGAGAGAGATCTTCCGTCCACTGGCTGACTCCTCAAACAGTTGCAACCAATGTTGGAGCTAGGTCAGCCCAAAGCCAGATGTCTAGAACCCCACCCTGCCCTCCCACATGGTGCCAGGGGTCCAGGAGCTTGGGTTATACTATTCATCCATTTTCAAGACACATTAGCAGGGAGCAAGACTGGATGTGGAACAGCCAGGAATGGAACCAACACTCACAGGGGATGCTGGCAGCAGCTTAATGCACTATGCTGGCCCGCTTTTGCTTTCTGAAACCTTACAACATCATTTAAAAAAATATGTAGTTCAATTAGCTGCTTTTGGGTTTTTAAGGCATAGGGAGGAAGGTCTCTCTTTTCCTCATTTACAAAGAGATTCACATACGTTTTCTTCTGGCTTCTAAATGGTTCTATTTTTACATTTGAAGTTCTAACACATTTGGAATTTATCCTTGTATTTAGGATGAAGCAGAGATTCAATTATGTATTTTTCCAAATGGTTGCCAGTTGCCCCATTTATTTAATATGCCATCCAAACACCTGATATGGGGCTGCCACATTTATCATATTGTAAATTTCAGATAACCTGGGTCTAATTCTGTACTTGCTCATCTGTCCCACCAGTCTTATTAGGTGCTTTTATACCCACATAATTGATTCTTACTGTTTTGTTTTAAAAGAGATCATTCTCAGGGTGGTGGAGGGCGAGACACTCAGGATGGGGCCTGCCTGTGGGGCCTCTTGACCCCACATGCCTGGTGTGGCAGGGGCAACCCCAGATCAGGCAGCAATGGCACCGGGCAAAGTTTTGGGTGTGCTCCGGGGACTTAGGGGTGGGGCTTACAAGGGATCTGGGGTGTGGCACAAGTGAGGGTGAGCGGGAACCTGAGGGTTCATGTTCAGGTGAAGAATGGCTACTGAGGGACTTCCATAAGCAAGGCCACTGTACTTGCAGGTAAGACAGGGTGCTGAGACCGAGCGGTTTGGAGTAAAGAATGGGATGATCTTTAAGGGTCAGACTGAAGCACCAGCATGCATGGGAGACCTGAGTTGGGGTAGTTAGCAGCGACCATCACCAAATCTCACTCGCTGACACACATTAAAGCTAGGGCTGGGGGCCTACACGGTAGGGCTAGATTACAGTACCCACCAGTGAGAGTCAGAACAGGGAATGGGGAATGTGAGGCTGCGCCATGACACTAATCAGCATGTGAGAGGACCAGGTCTGGGACAGAATCTGTCAGCGGGCTATGTGGGCTCACCACTGTGAAACTGCAATCTCCACTGGCACTCACAAGATCTGTGGTTGCGAACAGGCCTGGCTGGGGAGCTAAGGGGATGCCCCAGTGGGGAGAGGTTCCAACCAATGAGCGTGAGAGCCAGCCTGGGGGCAGTGGGCTGGGCTTAACATGGCTGCAGCCCCCTCAGCATGGATGTAGACTGGGTCTGGGGAGTGACAGACTGGGCTACCCACTAGTCTGTGTGAGAGCCAGGGTGGGTGTAGAATGGGCTGGGCTGGGTCTCAGTTCCTGCTTAACCATGTGAGAACCATGTCTGGGTGAGGAACAGGTATGGCTGGGCTATAACACCCAATAGTAAAAACTGGAAAGGGCATATGGGCCAATTGTCAAGGATACTGTTCCTGCCAGGACAACAAGTGGGCAAAGTCAACCTGGGCCAAGGACCCAACAGTGGGCGTGAGATTGTCACTGGGAGGAGATCTGATAGAGGAGCTTGGGAACTCCTTTGTCAGGGCATAGTCACTGCAGGTGAGCTCAAGAACCAAGGAAAGGAGCAGCCCAGACCATTACAGTACCTACAGGCATACATATGGATCAGTTAATAACATTCACTGGCAGATCTGAGAACCAGGACAGGGTGCAGGCCAGGCCAGGTAGGGCCACAACATCAGCCAGTCTACATTAGGCCCGGGACTGGGGCTGGCTGGACTGGACTAGGCTGCAGTACCCACCAAATAGGAACTGGAACTGGAGGCAGGCTGGACAGAGCCAGGTTGAAGCACCTGCTGGTGGATGCTGAGGTGAGGCAAGCCATGCCACTCTGAGTGGTAGGTGCTGGGTCCATGAGCCCTGGGGATGGAGTATGCAGCAGGACCTGGGTCGCTTGACCCAGGTCCTTGGGCCTGCCTGAGAAGTGGATGCTGGTTTCATGTGCCCCAGGGGCGGTGGTCTGGCGGGGCCTGAGTCACCTGGCTTGGGTCCTTGGGCCTGCCTGCAAAACTCATCCTCCTCTTTGGGAAAGATGGAGCAGTAGATAGAAGGTCCATATACACATGGAGGATACAGAAGTCCATTGGCGCCTGCAGAAGACATCTGGTACCACAGCAGAGGAAGGAGAACAGAGCAAATTGGACAACTGCCCCAGCCAAATGATGACAGCAAAAGTTGGGGCAAATGCAGACTCTAAGGTTGACTGTGTCAGCCAATGGGCATTGGAAGTGTTCCCTCATCCATAGATCGGCAAGATGGACAGCGGTTCAGAACTACTGCAACCACGTGAGCAGAACCTTTGGAGTGTGCACTACACTGGGACCCTTGGTCAATATCAGGTGGTCATTTCCCATCTCTGGTACTGGGACAGTTGGGAGGTTGGATGTGGCTTCTCCCCTTATCTCCCCCTTCCCCCAGATATGAGAAGAAGAAATAGAAAACTTGGAAACAATGACCACACCCACTTATCCCTAACCCTGGATCCTTCCCAGCCTGTTCAACAATGTAAACATCATCATCATCAAAACAAAACAAAACAAAAAACAAAAAACAAGAGATTGCACTCTTTGAAAACTTATTGTTTTTGTTTTGAGACTCAGCAATAGAGAGAGAGTGTGTGAGAGCCACATTTCTGTATTGACTGGTTCACTCCCCAGGCACCTATCCTAGCCAGAGCTGGGTCTGGTCAAAGTCACGTCTCCCATGTTGGTGGCAGGAATACAACTCTGGGATGTCACTGCTGCCTCCTGGTCTGTACTTACAGGAGGATGGGATCCAATTAGAGCTGGGAAGCGGAGCCAGGGACTCTGCTGTGGGAATGGGGTGTCCTAACAGGTGGCTAGGTCAAATGCCAGCCCTCACCTGATTTTGAAGGTTTGGATGTCAATGTTGTAACATCAGGTAGGGCTTACTCTTGCTTCCCACTCCCACCGTCTCACCTTCCCTCTCATGTGCCTCCCCTCCCTTTTTCTTCTCCTCCTTTCTTTTGCCAGGACTTTCCTGCACAAGTCTTATAATCAACTTGCCTGGCTCCAGGAAAACGAGACAAGAGTAATCCGTGGCATTTGTTCGGGGAGTACCTTCAACTCCCAGATCTTTACAGAACTAAGGGCTTTATGTTGAACCTCCTGGTCCAAGAGCGGGGCATGTATTTTCATGAGATCACGTCTATTTTTTATGCTTCAGAATTATTTAGGAGTCTTCCTCATGTGGGTTTTGTTCAGTTTTTTGTTGAGTTCTATTACAAAGGCTCCTATATTTCTTCGTTGCTACTTTCAATACATACACTAAATTACATACTTTAAATAAGACCGCGTAGGAGTTCAAAGACCACAAGCAAAAGCAGAGACCACGGATGCTGGGAGCTACAGGAAGGCCATGGACTTCCTAGGCTACCTTGGAACTGTTTGAAAGCAAGTCATCTGTGCTCGCTTTTATAAAAAGCGAACACGATCTTATTTTTCACACAGCCGCATGCGGCACAGCTCTCAGGCAGTCTGTACGACAGTGCTCTCACGGTGGGATCGGAGTGTGGACAACAAGGAAGGGCAGGCACTCACCTTGGTGTATTCATCCTTGGCCTTGGTGAGCATGCGCAGGATATCAACTTCCTTGCCATCTCCTGCGCTGAGGAGCACTGGGGAGGCTCCTGCTCCAGTCCCCTGGCAGGCTTTCAACTGTTCATGCTGAGTTAGGCTAGAAAAACAGATGGCAAAAGCCCCACAAGAAAGACCAGCTCAACACAGGCAGTTATCAAACCATCCTAGTTCTCCTGCAGTGGCTTCTAGTCTGTTACAATAATGGCAGGGGAGAAGACTGCTTGGGAATGCAAAGAGAACTGAGAACTGAAGTCCTGAGTTCACTGACCAGAGGTGAAGCCCGGTGGTCAGCAGCGCCTCCCATCCCGCCCATCACCTGGCCAGGCCCCTTGCTGCTTCTGCATCGCTCGTGGCCATTTGTACGTGGCGCTGGCAGAGGTGAGTCGTCCGACAGACATGGAGGCCTGGTTGAAAACCTGCAAGAGCCGCCTTCTCATGAAGAGAACTGGCCAACTCTCAGGACACATAAAAGCACACCACCCTCACCTGCTGAGAGAACCCCATACGGAGCCCAAAAACCCTGACGGACCTGCAGGACAGGCATACGCTTTCCTCCTCCCTGCACCCCAGAGGACCTGGAAAGCAAGGCAAGGTGGGTTCCAGCAATAGGGACCCTGTCCCTCTGTGGACGTTTGCAAACACAGTACGGTGCCATTGGGAGAAGGGGGGCGTTGAGAAAATTGCTCGGACAGTGAGTGCCTCCAAGAGGGGGGGTGGACTGCCTTTCAGGAAACTTCAGGAACTGAACGGAAGGCAGAACTCAACGAGGCTTATTTGGGTGCAAGCATTTCACACTACACCCATCTGTGGCTCTTCGGAAGACCTTGCCTGCATGCACGCTTCTGGGGGATGCACAAAGACGGAGTTTCCTTTTCTGTGTTCTGACTGGCAGCTCCATTTCCTTTATGATTGCCCCTGAGTTTGTCGGGGGAGGGCACAAAGAAAGGGAGCGAATGAGCTCTGACTTTCCTGAAGGATTTACTTCTGGAGTCCACACAAATCAGCTGCTTATTGCTAGTAAATGATCAATTTCCTGCCCGGGTTATTAAGCCCTTACTGCAGAACACAGATCATTTAAGCGCAGCTTTTTGGCTGGGCTACGGGATGCTTTTTAATCCACAAGAAAGTCTGCTCTAGTCTACTGTACAGTTTACGATAACACAGATACCCTAGTAACTGGCCATTACGATGATGGTAAACAGTAGTGTGGACACACTTGAGCGCCATCTGCAACTTGAGCTCACACAGGCCGCATTTTCAGGAATCAATTATATTTATTAAAAAGTGTTTCCTAGTTTCCATTTCCTCGGGGTCACGCTGGAGTCCTTTCACCACCCTAGGATTTAAGATGGAAATTCACTTCTCTGGCAGACAGTTGCTTGGTCACATCCACGTGGGTGGCAGCCATCCCGCAGGCCTAGCTGAGTCCAGGCCCGGGCTGAGCACCACATGTATAGGAAACTCATTTCATTCCAAGGCCCTCACCCCGCTGCCCACAGACGGCATGGAAATGACGGCAGTCCTGGACCACGGCTCACGGGAGCAGACGGCAAGCACACCTGGGTCCTCTTTTCAAAGTCATTAGGGAAGCCCAAGGTGAGGAAACTGGGACAGTGAATTTTTTTTTTTTCAGTTTCCCCACATGCAGAAAGGGACAAAACATGAAGCATCGGGAGGGTTAAGAGTGGGAGAGGTGGGGCATGGAGAGAGTCTAGCAGTGTGAACTAAATTAGCATTCATCCAGAAAACGTCCAAAATGGCTGAAAATAAAGTTCTAGGGTACTCCATTTTTGAGACTGGGAGAAAAATATCAGCTCCTCTAAACACAGCTGGAGAGTTAAAGGAAAACAGGACAGAAAGAAAATGTGCAATGTTAGAGAATCTGGAGTGACCTTTTAGGAGGACTCCAAATGTTCTTCTTTCTCTTCCTTTTAAGATTATATACATGAAAGACAGAGGGAGACAGAAAGAGAGAGAGAGAGAATCTTTCATTCACTGGTGACTGAAGCCAGGAGCCAGGAGTTTCACCCAGGTCTCCCAGGTGAGTGGCAGGGTTCTGACCACGTAGGTCACCCTCCGTGGCCTTCACAGGCACATCAACAGGGAGCTGAAGCTGCAGCATGACAGCCAGAACTTGAACAGCATCTTGGATATGGGACACTGGTGTTGCAAGTGTCAGCTTAACCGTGGCATCCTAGCACTGGCCCTGCTGAATGTTCTTTTGCCTGATAAGACACACTGAGATCTTTTCAATGCCTAATATGCTAATTGACAGATGAGGAAAATATTAAGAAGACATGCCATCTGGAACAATTTATATTATCCTTGCATATGTTTTCCACAGGCAGAGGAAAATGTTGAGTCATTTGAGATGAAAAAAATCACACGTAGTAAAAATACAGCAAGTCATTTCTAGTGTCAATTTTTTCATTGAAGTAACGTTAAACATTTTCCTGACCACTGTGGAAAGGATTGCTACCAGAGATGTATCCTGCTAAAATTACAGTGTAGTTGCATACACTTAGAAATACAAACAAAAGTACCAGGTCCTGAAAAATATTTAGCTTTGGGCACTTACTTCTTCATGAGCTCTGCGATTCTTTGGCATTCTTCCTTATCATAAAACCAAATTCCATAAATGGACACTGCAAAAACACATGGCCAATAAATTATAAGCATTCACCAGACTACAAAGCGAAAAGAAACTTCTTTTTCCACCTTTCAGGAAAACAACACCTTCAAGAACTGAATTAGTTTATTCAATAAACAAAAGAATAAATGAAACCAATCATTGAGGCTGAAGCTTAAAAATCCAGCGCTGGAATTTGGGGCCACAGGGAAATCTATATGCACGCATGCTTACACACTCACATACACACACATGCAATATAATATGGTTTCCTTAAAAAACATCCAGGACGTGAACACTATCAGCATTTGCTAAATACTCCTAACACTTCTCAAGCAGACGAATACAGTTTGAAAATGAACTCAGAATTTCTAAACTTCCTGGCTTCAAAACATCATTGTTTCCGTACTCCATTTGCACATTTCATAAACACATTCCATCTTTATTTTTAAATATTCAGAAATCTGATGCTCAAATTATGCCTAGAAGGCTCCCTCCCTTCTTCTCTCAGGAATCTGTTAACTGAAAAATTGGCTTGGTAAGCTATAAGTTGGAATAGGGCACAGGAAAAAAATAGAATAATAAAGCTCTGACAACTGTTAAGAGACAAGTTATGATAACGATATAATCCTCTGGTGATGAAAGGCAGTGTGGCATAACGCAGCTACTATTGATTGATTTAGAAATCTTTATATCGGTTGTATACTAAATTTAATGTGCGCCTATCTACATCATTCTCACAGCAAAGGCTGAAATTGTGCCAAAATACGTTGGTCGATGTCTGAGAATCTCAAATTATTTCGTGGTTAATAAGCATGAAAATAATGCATTAGCCTATGCCTATTGGAAAAGTCTTTCTTGAAAACGGCTGCAATGGTATGACAGGGCCATGAAAATCAACAAACACATTTTAAAAGAAATACTTAGGAAAACATCATCTTTCAAAATGTTCAGTTCTGTTATTTTTGTCATGAAAATTGTCCTGATCTTCTAACTGCATCACTTTTTTTTTCTTGCCTACCTGACCAAGGTCTAGGCATGGAATTTCTGCTTCTGGTCAGTGATGATTCAAAACTCCCCAAAGGTGTAAGCAATGTCTCTTCAGGCTTGTTTGAAGCAGATGACTTCAAGAGGGACTGAATGAGGCTGAATTACCAACATGACAAGTTTGCGTTTTCAGTTTTGTTCTTCTAAGGACTGGTGTCTCAGGGACATGGGGCTGGGTGACCCCTGGGGAAGGGCAGGGCAAACCCAGCTTTGGCACAAGGCTCTGAGCCAGGAGTCTTCTCTCTTGCTCCTCCCTTGGCAGAGGGACGCACATTTTAAGATACATCCGAGTTCTGAAGCTGTGCTGTCAGTGCTTTTCCATGCAAGTGAAATTTTCTCATCTCAAACCTTCATGTGGACGGCTATTTCCTGACTGCCACCACGAACCCAATTCCCTAGACCGAATCCTGCATGCTGACCTTGTGCTCTTACAAGAAACATGCACATGGAACCCTTTCCAAAATCTGGACTGTCTGTGCTGGTAGCTTTAAGCTACAAAACAGGAGGCCGCTCTAATGTTTGCATTTTCTTTCTCCTTTTTATTTGCGGGGCGGAGGGGGTGGGGGACGGGAAGACTCTTTCCTTGGAGACCGGGAGTTTTTCAAAAGCATCAAAGGAGAAAGGTGGCAGCAAGGGAAAGAAACAGAAAAAAACAATTCCCTTCCTCCCCTCAGCACAGCTAGGAAACCAGAGGCCCACAGGCCAAGAGGGGACAAGTCCAGCCACGGGGGTCAGCAGACTATATTAAGTAGAAAGAGTTTGGGTGTTGTTTTTCAGAGATGACACATCGGTGGCATCTATCTTAAGGTTTTCCTAAGGAGAAGATGCCAAGGAAGATACTGGCACAAAGGGCAACGGTTGTGCAGAGTGAGGGAGGAAGCGGCCATGAAAACATCTCTCAGATGAGCCAAAGAAAGGCAGGGTTTGCCGCCATGATTTAAGACCTTCCTAGGATCCATCCATTTATCTTGCAAACAGCATGGTTTTAGCACTAAGATGGGATCATTTGGAAAGAACTGCTCTCATCCCGGTGACTGGCTGATTTGAAAATAGAGTTTAAACGGCCCAGAAATAAAAACAGGTTCACCAACTGTCCTGGCAGCAAGATAAAGACATGAAACGGAGCCTCGACTGTTTTTCCTCCCTAAAATAGTTTTGCAGCTTGAGCTGTAATGTGCTGGGAGAGGGGCTGAGAATTCCATCAAAGTGCATGTTCCAGCCGCGGCTTCCGCTTCTCAGGCCTGGGAACAGCTACCAGCCCCCTGGGCAGGCCTATCGCTCTGGCACACAAGAGGGCATATCAGAACGGCTCGTGGTGACATATAAAAGCCAGAGGTCGGCATACCTTGGGGAGGTGATGAGCTGACAGGCTGACAGGCACCGCTACCTTCTCCTTTCAGTCCAGGGAAAGTCATCGGAGGAGGGGTCTAGCCCCACACAAGCAGGAAACACATTTAGCAGAGATGAGAGAGACAGACAGACTAGACAGAAAAGAACCAAGAAGGAAACTGTGGTTTTAGGATTCTAAGCTCCTGAGACCTCCATTTTTAGCAACATCATATGAGCCACGTAGACTTCTGTGGCACCAAGATGGCACTACAGGATTAGTTTGAAAAAATTCACAAGAGAAAACGCCATGGGCAGGATATTCATTTAGCTTCAAAAATCACCCTGTTTGTGTCCCACCGGAAACTGACGATGCTGCGTGCCCTTGTCCAGCCTGCTACGCCCGCATACCAGCTGTTCCCCAGTCCTCTGTCTGCCGAAACAGAGGTGACTTGCAAAGGTCCTGGGGTGCATGAAGTTCAGTTCCACCACTTGCACATCTCTCCTGCAGGTAAGAACCCCCAAACGTGGAGTGAGGCACAGGCCGGCCAGGTTTAAATGCACACACAGAGCGCTGAGGGCCACAGGAAGGTGGCTCCCCCACTCCAAGGGCTCATCTCTTGGGCAGTCATCTTTGTATTGAATCAACCCTATCAGCAACATATTTGTGAAGCTTTGCCTAAAATCATAATGTCCCTGTTTAGATTATTCTGCAGAAATTCTCCATTGAAAACTGAATCTTTGCTGTCTCCAAAATAAAATATAAATTTTAAAAAATCTGAACCATCTTCAAACCACAGGCTCCGGTATGGTAAAATATCATCTTCTAATCTCTCCTCATTCAATAGGAAATGAGAAGGAGACTCAAATTTCTATATTAGATTTCATGTCTGAATTTTGTTGGTATACACAGGATAAGACAGACGGACAATTATATTCAATAATGGTGTTTCTAATGCTTTCATTTTTTTCAGCGGAAAAAATTAAAAGCTGGCTTAATTTTAAGAGGTGGGGACGAGGTCAATAGAGACGGTATCAGGTGTCACTTATATTTGGATTTGAAACTGTTTCTTTTTAGCCTGGTACATTCATTCGGTTTGGATGTTTGGGGATTAACCCTGTCTTATGTTCCTGATAAATATTCCCAATTTATCTCAATATGTCATTGGCTTTAAAAAATTTACCCCATCATTTCTCAACTCTAAATCATGAACAATAGTTGACAGCCATTTAACAAGGATCTGTCTGTGCCGGTATTTATGGAAATTTTGAAAAATATATATGTGTGTGTGTGTGTGTGTACTGTTTGTAAGTGTATGATAAAGTCATAATTATATGGGTAAAATCGAAATAGTCAGGTATTTGATTTGGTGATTTTTTTTGTATTTTTAACAATAATGTCACTGACTCCTGCAGGACAGAACTGTGCTTTTCGCAGTCAGTACCCAGCAAAGGAAGTGATAGGTTCCTTTACTAGGGGAACCATGGAAACACGGTGGTGTAACCACACAAATCCCTTCTGGGCATTTCAGGATAATCCAAATTTGAACAATTCCTCCCAACTTCATTCCCTCCCTAACATTTATCTCTCCCGAGCACAGGGACAGTCTCGATGGAAGCTTGGAGACCATCAAATCATGCATTTAGTGCAAACATTTGCTTTTGAGACCATCCTCAAATATAATGTTTGACTGACTGTACTGCAGTGTCTGGTTCAAGCTTTTACAAGGGTGAGCACAATGCTGGTGACTGGTGGGGAGGACTGCAGAAAGAGGGCACACACAGCTACCATCCTCAGAAACGGCCACCCAACACTTCAAAATCAGAAAGAGGGGGCTCTGGGAGTGCAGCCCTGCAACCTCCCTTGGCAATGAGGAGTCTGGTCTGATGAACCCGAGGGAGCTGGTAGCATTGCTCCTGGTTCAATCCTTTCTCTCCAACAGGCCCTCTCTCAATCAAATCAATGATGTTTTCCAACACTTCTCTACATATCTGATTAACTTCTAGAGTTAGTAAAAAGATGGAAATGAGTTTTTGCTCACACCAAGACTCCAGGAGCTCTGAGAGAGAAAATGGGAAGTACAGAAGGAAGGGAGAGGGGACAAGAAGGAAGGGGGTGAGGGAGCTGTTGAGGACTGATGGGGTTTTACAGCGGCGAAGGCCAGTGCCTGCGGCTGCTGTCCATAGAAGGCAAACAGGCGGCTTCTGGAATGTTTGCACTCAGAAGGCTTTCCCTCTGGTGAGTTCTTGAAGGCATTTACAACACTGCTCTTTCATTCACCTTCTGCCTTAGCCTTGCTGACCAAACACGGACACATCTCATACAGCAAGATCAGCAGTGGCCGCGGAGTGTCGACATAGCGCTGTTATCTTGGGCCCTGGTCTGGTTCTTTTCACATGACATTGTTTTACTGCGCCCCACAAATCACTGATCCTATGACCTGGGGACAAGGCAAGGCTGTCAGTGCGTGGGGCACAGTGTTTGGGCGTGAAGGAGTAGAAAACCTAAAACCCCTCCTTTTCTAGATAAACTCACTTTATTAAAGAGTTAACACAAAGACAAACCTCTTGCCTACTGGTTTGTACAACTTTAACACATACTTTCCAGCTGTTAACAAGATTTTATTACCTTCCAAGCAAAAG